ACACACACACACACACACACACACACACACACTTTCAAATCTGGGGTCTACATAAAGAGAAAAGGTAATATTTCTAAGTTTGGCTTATTTGCTTAACATGATTTCTAATTCCATTTTTTGAAAATTCATGTTTCTGTTTTTCTTTATGACTGCATAAACTTGTGTTGTGTATGTATACCACATATTTTTTTCCTTTTTTAAATGTGTGTGTGTTTTACCTGCATGCATGTAAGTGCATCCATCATGCATTGCCTGCGGAGGCCAGAAGGTGGCATTGAATCCCCTGGTTACAGGTGGTTGTTAGCTGCTATAAGGGCATGGAAACCAAACGCAGGCCTTCTGCAAGAGCAGCCATCTGAGCCATCTCTCCAGCCCCAGATATTCCACATTATCTTTATGCATTTGTCTGTTGGGGACTTCTAGACTGGTTCTGCTTTCTGGCTCTTGTGTAGTGCAGCAGTAAACATGGATGTGCAAGTATTTCTTGTATGTGGACTTAGAATCCACTGAGTGTATAGCCAGGAGTAGTTACAGCTGGGTTATATAGTAGTTCTATTTCCAGTGCTTGAGGAATACCCATGCTGATTTCCATAGGGACTGCCAGATTTACAAACAGTGAAGAAGGTTTCTCTTTTTCTTATCCTTAACAGTGAAACACATTTAAATGTGTACTGAGGATGATGTATTTGAAATTTTAGTCCTCACTCATGATAACTAGCTTTATTTAGACATTGAAAAGAACATGCTGGTTTACCTGCACTTAAGACTTTTTAGTCATAAAGCTGTGGTTTTATATATTAAATGAAAGTGTAAATGTGAATATGTAATATTCATTTTTTTATATTTTATTTTTTTATGTGTATGCATGTATTGCCTGCATGTAGGTGAGTCCACCCATGTTGTACAATGCCCGCAGAAGACAGAAGAGGCTGTCAGATCCCCTGGAACTGGAATTACGGACAGTTTAACAACCCATGTGGGTGCTGGAATTCGAACCTGGGTCTTCTGCAAGAACAGTCAGTGTTCTTAACCACTGAGCCATCTCTCCAGCCCCAGATATTCATTTTTAAAGATCAAGGATTGGGAAGAATATGCTAAAATGTGAATTATTGTTTCTAAATAATTTCATCTGGAGAATGGGTATGGTGGGGTAGAGTTAACAGTTTTGGCTTTTAAAATATTTTTTCTTTACTTTTGTGGGTTTCCTACATGTATACAATGAAGTAAGTCATTTTCCCACTCTAGTTCTCCCTCAACATCCTCATCTCTCAACTTCATGCCCCTGTCTTTCTTTTTTAATAGCACACTAAGTCTAGTTAATACAGCTCATATATGTGTGGGTGTGGGGCCATCCACTAGAACATGGAAAACCTTCTAATGCCCACGTTCTCCAAAAAAGAATGGTTCTTCCTCCCCAGTGACTATCCCCTACCAATAGCTTCTCACTAAGGGGTGAGGCCTGGAGATCATCTACTCCTCTGTTCTAGGATTTTGGTTGGCTTGGTCTTTTTGGCTTGGTCTGTTGGTCTTGTGCTGGTAACCATGGCTGCTATGAATCCATGAGTATTGTAGCCATATCATGTCCAGAAGACAACGTCCTGTAGCACTCTGCCCCATCCTCTGGCTCTTGACATTCTTTCTGCTTCTCTTCCTCAGTGTTCCCTGAGCCTTGGTGGTGATGGGGTTAATAGAGATGTCTCATTTAGGGCTAAGCACTCATATTTGTGTTCTCAGCACTCTGACCAGCTGTGCATCTCTTAGTTGACTACTGTTCACTGCAGAAAGAAGCATCTCTGACCAAGGTTGAGAGCAACTGAGGTCCATGAGTGTAAGAATAAATGTTTAGAAGGCAGTTTGACAATGTGACCATTTAACAAAGTAACGATGGCAGGTCCTACACTAGAGACTGTGACCTCCCAGCCATGGGCTTTTGATCAGGATTTCAATATTAGACATGAAATTCTGTCCTGTGGATCAGGGCTCAAATTTAATCAGAAAGCAATTATCCCATAGTAGTTGTGTCATTGTTACACCGGTGGGCACATCAAGCCTTTCAGGTTAGTATTGTAAAGTGCAGGGTCGAGCCCTAGGTAAAACCATTATATAATGTTTTAATTCTTGAAAACTTTTTATTTTCATATGTTATCTGGATTTTTGAATTAATTTTATGTTGGGGCATAATACAAAATACCTTTTTTCTTTTCAAATTTGAATGGTTACTAGTATCTGTTTTAACTTTAGAACTCTACCCTATCTGGAGGCAAACATCATGGTCCTGTGGAAGCCTTGAAACAAATGTTATTTAACCTTCAAGCAGTACAAGAAAGTTTTAATCAGAATAAAACTACAGAAACAAAAGAAGAGATTAAGCAAGTAAGGACAAAATTATGAATTGAGATAAATTTATAAATTTGCCTAAAATTTTATTTTTTCATTGCTGTGACAAGATACATGACAAACAAATTTATTTTGACTAATGCTTTCTGACATTTGCCCGTAGTCCCTGGCTGCTCTGATTCTGGGCCCATGGTGAGGCCCAACGTCATGGTAGCAGGAGCAGTGTGGGCCAGAGGTAGGCAGAGGCTGTTCATCTCATGACAGAGAAGGAATCAAAAAGGAGGGAACAAGGGACTGGGGACCAAGCATAACCTTCAGAGCAGGCCTCAGTGACCCACTTACTCCAGTTAAGTCCACAACTTCTCAAATAATTTTGCCACCTGAGGGTCAAGCATTCAGTACACGACCCTGTGGGAAACATACCAGATTTCTTCCAGAATCTTTTCAGACCTACTTCTAGTTCTGTGTTAATAAGTATGACAGTGGGCTGCAGAGATGGCTCAGCTGTGAGAACACTGGCTGCTCTCACAGAGACCTGGGTTTGTTTCCCGGCAACCACATAGCAGTCAACAACCATCTATAGCTCCAGTTCCAGGGAATCTGATGCCCTTTTCTGACCTCTGCAGGCATCGCACACATGGGTGCACTTACGTACATGTAGGTAAAACACTTAAATAAAAACTAAAGCGTGAAAACTTAGACAAGTTGTAGAATTCTGTAATTCTGTTGTTTTGGAGATTACCTTCCTCACACTTAATATTGTTTTAATGTCTTGTAGAATGACTCTGTCTGGTTCACCTTCTTACAGTTATATTTGGAGAAGCCTCGAAAATGTTTTCAACATTAGACTTCTCTGCCTTTGCGTGTCAGAAAAGTAAATTTAATCTTGTGACTGTGCAGTTTCCAAGTCTGTAATAATACACTGTGGTTAACTATGATCACCCTTAGTTATTCAGTAGCCACCTTGAACTTATTCTTCCCGATAGTAAGTTTGGTTTTTGACCGATATTTCCCCATCTGTTGCCACTCAGCCAGCCTCTAATAACTATCATTTTACTCTCTGCTCTTGAGAGTTGGACCTTTTAGATATCATGTATACATCAGACCATGCTGTGGGTGTTTTTTCTGTGCCTGGCTTACTTTCTTTGTCAGCTCTCTTGTTATTCAGTAGAATTTTATTTCTAAAATTCAGTTTTCATTTCAAATGAGTGGACCAGTTCTTAGTGTCACAGCCTGTTCATTTAATTATATTTGAATTTTTTTCCTGATACTCTGTTCATCACAACATTAACACAGTGCAATTCTTCTTCTTCACCTTACTCATTAAACATCACTGAGACTTAAACTGTTTCTTTGAAGATGGAACTTCAAGCCAAGGTGTGATTCTTTAATGGGCATATGTTTAGAAGCATATTTTAGGAGAATTGAAAGGTTTGTAATTTTATAATAAAGGGAAAATAAAAATATTGCTTTCCTAAAATAGTTTGCTGCAATTCAATTCAGTATTTTAATATTTGTTTTTTTGTGTGTGTTTCTAATAATAGGTTTTAGAAGATGATTTCTCTAAATTACAATTGAAGGAAAATATGATTCCTATTACTACATCTCTTCAAAAGTAAGTATTCTCTACTAATGTGGAAACAAATTCATTTTAATCATCCTTTAACTGAAATCAGGGTGGAATTGAGTAGTAGCTCCAAGAGTAGATGTATGGTAGATACATTAAAACTCCTTTAAGCACATCATTAAAAAAATTTTTTTAATTAAATATTTTTTGTGTAGTCAGGCATGGGTGGCACATGCCTTTAATTCTAACCCTTGGGAGGCAGAGGCAGGTGGGTATCTGTGAGATGGAGGCTAGCCTGCTCTACGTACTGAGTTCCAGGCCAGCTAGTTGCTAAAGGGCGACACTGTCTCAAAAATAAAATTTGTGTGTGCATTTATATGTGTGAGCATGTGGAGGCCAGAGGTTGACAGTTTTCCTTAATCATGGAGAGCAGTATCAAAAATTTTACATGTATGAGTGTTTTGCCTACATGTGTGTAAGTGACTTATGTTGTGCAATGAATGTGGAGGCCAGAAAAGGGCATCAGATACCCCAGAACTGGAGTTATGTAGGATTATTAGCCATCATGTGGATGCTGTGAACTGAACCTGGGTCCTCGGGAAGAACAGCCAAGTGCTCTTAACCGCCGAGCCACCACTCCATCCCCTGAGTACATTAAGAAGAACAATACTTTCTCTCAGACCTGTGCAGTTTCTGATTTAAATTGTTCTAAGGACTTAAAGAGATATCTTTAGCCATTTAAAATACAGTGGATATGAAATGACTCATATTTTTCATTTGGAGTAAAAGCAGCAATTTGAAATTTTCAGTACTGATGTGGATATCCTGTAACAGTAACGTGTTATGAAATTAGTTCATCTAGTCATCAGTGTTTCATTATTTAGCACATCGCAAGCCAGTCAGATAGCTCAGTGGATATGGGCACCTGAGTTTAATCCCTGGAACCCACAGAGTGGAAGGAGAGAACTGACTTCTACGAGTTGTCTTCAGACCTCTGCACAAGTGCCATGTCCTGCACCTATATGTACACACACACACACACACACACACACACACACACACACACACACACGTTAAAAAAAGAATATTTAACACATCTCCAGAGAAATCTGAGTAGATTAATATCCTTGATGTAAAGTTAATCTTCATAGACTCACTGTCTTAAATAAAAGTAATGCGTATAAACACGGTTCTTCAGTGTTGTCAGGGTGAGGTCCTTTACTTTTTGCTTTGGTTATATGAATATGAAGTGTTTTCAGAAGATACAATTACTGAAATTAAGCACTAAGATTAACTATTTTTATGTTAGTAACATTTTACTAGATCATAAGTGAGAGTAATCAACTGTTCCTCTCTCTTTTGTGTTTTCACAATTTGCTTATGTTTCTCCCATCTAAGGAAATGATAAAAAAGGAATATTCACTAAATGTAGTTATGAGTCTAACTATATGTGTATACTATATATAACCTTTATGGTTAAAAGTGTAATTTATGATGATCCTTTTCTCTCTTAGTTAAAATCTTCTTGATAAAGATATCTCTTTCTCTGTAGTTTTCCATAGTACCTGATATAATAGTCTGTACCTAATAGAATTTAGTGAATAGTGATAATTTATTGAAAACAAAATTCATGTGATCCTGTGACCCTCCAAAGCAAGTACTGTTATCACTTTTATAATACAGGTCAGGGAATAGGCATGGCGTAATGTAGAACTTGTCCAACATTATATAGCTAGGAAGAGGTGGTACTGGGGCTGAAACTTGTGGTCTAATTGGAAACCTCTTTCTAACCCGTGTTAATGATAATGGTGAATTGTTTATTGTGAATAGGGACAGGATCTTAATTAATCATCTAGGATAAACATACTATTCCTTTTTTAAATATTTTAAGTGGATGACTTGAAGCTTTCTGTTGCTCTTAAAAGCACCGATACTGACTTGTGTTGCAAGCCCGATGTATTTTCTGAAATAAAGTACCTGCTTTAGAAGATCTCTCTCCTTAGTGAAAATTAACACTTGGTTATAAATCACTATAAGAACTACTGATTTTACTATTTGTTAAAATTTTTTTTAGTAGTAGTAGTAACATTTTTCTTGCCATAAACAATGGGCTTTGTTTACATATAAAATTCTATGTTTAGGAAGAACAAGTGTTCAATGCTTAGAGAAAGGAATTCCTGAAAAGAATTTATCTCTCCGTCACCATTGCTTGGAGCAGTTAAGCATAAAGTTGTCTAATAGTTGGCCAGTTGTATTATATAGACTTCCAGACTACATATGGGAATACTTTAGTACCTCGTATGAAATAGTAATTGTTAGTAACTATTGTAACTTTGAAATAGTGATGAATATAAAATGTTTTGAGATACCTGCAGTGAGTAAAATATGATAGAAAAGTAACTGAATTATGAGATTTAAGAATACAGTCTGTTGCTGGGTGTGGTGGCACATGCCTTTAATCCCAGTACTCGGGAGGCAGAGGCAGGTGAATCTCTGTGAGATCAAAGCCAGCCTGGTCTACATAACAAATCCTAGGCCATCTGGGCTACAGGGAGACCCCATCTCAAAAAATAAAAGTAAAATTTCGGTCTTTTTGAGACAGGGTCTCCTTGTAGCCCCAGCTGTCCTGGAACTCACTATGTAGACCAGGCTGGCCTTGAACTCACAGAGATTTGCCTGTCTCTGCCTCCCGGGTGCTGGGATTAAAAGTGTGCGCCATCACACCTGGCCCTGTTGTTTACAATTTTTAACCATTTATTATTTTTATTTTATATGCATGAGTGTATTGCCTCCATGTATGTAAGTGCACTCATGTTGTGCAATGCCCACAGAGGTCAGAAGAGGGTGTGGGATCCCCTGGAACTGGAGTTATGTATGGTTGTTAGCTGCTGCTATGTGGATGCTGGGAATTGAACTTGCAAGAGCAGTCAGTGCTCTTAACTGCTGAGCCCTCTCTCCAGTCGCTTGTTTGCCTTTGAGTGGAAAGAAATGCTAATTTGGGGGCTGGACCCATAGCTCAGCACTTCCGAGCATGTACTGCTGCTTTTTCAGAGAACCAAAGTTTGGTTTGTAGCACCCATGTTGGGTGGTTCACAGTTGTCTGTGATTCCAGCTCCAAGGGACCTGACACTGTCTTCTGGCTCTGTGGGAACCTGTACACATGTGGCATGCACACACAGACATACACACATACATATAAATGCATAAATACAATATTTGAAAGTAAATTAAAGGAAATGCTTATTTACAGGAGTAAGGAAAAGTAGAAGAATTATTTTAGGTTTTTCCTCTAAATTCTTTGAAAGAAGCTTTGAGAATTAAGGGCCTCTCTTCTCCTTGGTATATCGGAGAAGTGACTCAGTTTTTTCCACTGAAAACTGACAGAATTTTGACTGCATTTTAGAGAAAAATCTAGGTTGTTAATTTATATGTTATTCAACCTTATTAGAGACTTCTTCAATCTTATTAGAGAAGTTACTGGTTTTCCTCCTCATTACAAATGAGTTTTGCTCAGAATTATTGGATTCTTAAGTGTCATTCAAAAAATTTTAACTGTCTTAATGTAAATATTAAATGAATGAGTTACATATCTTATTTCTTAGATGATATATACAGAATGCCAAAAAAGAAAAAAATACATAATTTTGTAGAACTGTTGTGAAAATTACATGGAAAAAAAGTTTTAAGTATGCTACTGTTTTGTAACTAGTCTATTTTCCAATTAACTTGAAAAATTGAATATCAAAAATATATTTCAAAGAAATGTTTATAGAACATTAACTTATAGTTCTCACTTGTTCAGCTATCAAAGCTTTATAAGAAATAGTTCTCAGTTTTATATTTTTCTGTAAGTTCATTTCTTCCAGTAGTTTTGAAGGTAATAAATAATGTAGTCACTATTTCTTGCTTTCTGCATTGGCTACTCAGTCTTTAATATTGATTTATCATGTGTTTTATGTCTTTTAATAAAGGGCTTTACAGCATTTATCTTGCCTGAGAGACCTGGTTGATGACACCAATGGGAAGCAGTCACTGAAAATGTGAAGAGGGAAAGAAAACTTGGCCAAATAAATAGTCACCATATGATGAATTATGGAGTTTTTTGCTATTACTTAAACTGGCAAAGTAAATATTAAGGCATACATTATTCTGTGACTGGACCTAGTATACGTCTAAAAGTCTATACTTCAAATGCCCACAGGCCTGATTTTGTGCCACAATACTAGAGTGTAAACTGGACAACACCATAATGTATCCTAAAGCATTACTTAGATCTTCAAACCAGAAAATGTTTATTTCAAACATGGATGCTTTCTGTTTTTGCCACTTACCAGACTCACACACTGTGTGTGTGTATGTGTGTGTGTGTGTATGTATATAAAATATTTTATAGACATTGCTCTTTTTTATGTATTTTGAGAAAATGTTAAATAGGAAAGATTAAGTTGCTTCAAATTTTTAAGTGAGTATAAAAATGTAATATATTTAAAGGGTATGTGGAGATGGTTCTGTTGTTAAACTGCTTGCCTTGCAAACATGAGGACCTGAGTTCAATCCCTAGAACCCATTTTTTTTTTGTTGTTGTTGTTTTGTTTTGTTTTAAAGCCAAATGTGGTGGAACATTCTTGTAATTCCAGCTTGGGGAGGCAGAGACAGGAGGGTCCCTGGAGCTTGCCTGCCCGCCAGCCTAACCCAGCGAGTGAGCTCAGCGGTGACACCCAAAGTTGTCCCCTGGCTTCCACATGAATGTGTGTGTGCACACAATACACCAAATGATTTCAGAATGTTTTAGAACAAGGGATAAAGATTTGATCAATATGCAGAGTCAGGACTAAAGTGTATTGTCTTCACTATCAGGCCTTTAAACCACAGGCCTGATTTTGTGCCACAACAGTAGAGTGTGAACTGGACAACACCATAATGTATACTAAAGCATTACTTGGATCTTCAAACCAGAAAATGTTTTTTTTTTTTTTAATTCTCCCTTTTTCCTGTGACAATGTATCATTCAGCTTCATAGAAATTTCTGAACAAATTGATGAGCTGTCTTTTTGAAGTTGTTTTGGTGTAGGTCTTTCTAGTTGGATTATTTCTTGCCAAATTTCTAAATCTTGGATTTTTCTTGGTATTGTGTAGTTTAGGCTAATATCTTGTTTTAAATTACATGTAATTATAAAAAATTTCCCAAAGAAAAACCATAACAAGATTCATTATTTGTCCTGTGTTTTAAATATATGGACTTCATAGTATTAGATTTGAATTTTTGTTTAATTTTTCTGTTTTACCCTTCACTCTATATTTAAAATCCTCTTTGGTGGAAGTACTGTCAGGCACAGGGTTTATTCTTGATGTGTGTTCTGAATCTGGACAAATGTACAGGAGACATGTAGCCACCATTATGGGAAGTCTCATACAGTGTTGTGGTTCCTTTAATGTCCTCTGTTCTCTTATTCATCTCTACCTCAATCCCACACAAAACTTTAAAATGACATAATTACATGTATTTTAGAACATTTCTTTTTTGATGTTTTTGTTGCTTTTTAAAAAATAGGATCAGCAATTGTGTAACTATTATGGGTGGACATTGCTATAAGCTTTATGATTACTTGAACACTGAGAAAGTGGAGACTTAAAATTTTTTTAATGTTTCCCATTTTATCAAACACACAGTCTGTTCCACAGATGTGAGACTAAATCAAGGACCCCTTTCGGTATCTGATTGTCATAGTTTCTTCAGCTGCTACAATAAAATACCCAAGAGTGGGTAATTCATGGAGGGATAAAGTCAGGTTTCAGTTCTGGAGGCTGGGAGGTCATGTCAAGATGCTGGCATCTTTGACTAGCTTGCTGTTGAGGGTTGCTATGTGTCCAAATGGTGTCTTTCATATGCCAAAGGAGAATGCTGTGTCTTCATGTGGCAGAAAGGACAGAAGATGGAAGTGACCAAATTGCCTAGGTCAAATCCTTTTATAAGGAAGGATGTTAATCTATTTGTGAGGGCAATTCCTCCTGACTTAAATACCTTCCATAAAGCTCCATTTTCTGATACTCTTGAGTTGGGAGTTAAGTTTCAGTAAATGAATTTGGGGGGAATACATTCAGAACAAAACAATGGTGTTGCATTGTATTACTTTGAGCCTGATGGCAACAGTTTGTCTAATCTAGAACAATTATACGTTGATTAAAAACATGAATTTCTCTCAGCTATTGTGAAAAGAGCAGCAACAAACATGGATGTACAAGTGTCTCTGCAATACGATGAGTTCT